TCAAGTGGCCACCTCTGTCCCTCATCTTAGGATATCAGGATCCAGGTGATGGATAAGAGCACCTTCTAGCTCCAGTGGCAGTGACCACTCTGGCTTCTGAGGGTCTCTGGAACACTGTGTTCATGGATGCCATCCACCCTCAGGAGTAACTTCCCTAGCTGACCAAGGTGACCTGAGCTCAGGAAAGAGTCATTGCTGCTGGGGCTTTAACCTGCACGTGGAGGACAGAGGCCTCAAAGAGGAAGCCAGAAACAGCAAGGTGGAGGCCCTCACCTCCCATTGGAGGTCTCTTGGGTCATTCCCAGCAAGAGAGCCCTGTCCCAGCGCTTATCAGACTGTGCCTTGAGAGAGGGGCTTGGGCGAGGGTACAGTCACATGGTAGGGTGGAGGACCCTATGCTTACTAAAGGAAAGAGACCCATGCTTACTAAAGCAGATCTGGCTTTGAATGTTATTATGCCATGTAGTAGCTCTTTTTAAAATCTCTGAACCCTTCCTTCTGAGCCTTAATTTCCTCATCTGTAAAATGGGCATGAAATGTTCTGTTCTGTGGAATGGTTGTGAGGACTTGATGAGATAAGATAGGTGAAAGTGGCAAGCAAATAGTTGGGGCCCTCTTCCTTCTGAACCAAGTACCTGGGAGACAACCGCTACATCTTATTCAGTCAGCTCAGGTCCTTATTTATGTTATTTATTTCTTTTTTATTCCTTCTTTTTTAAGGGGCTTTCTGGCAAAAACTGGAAAGCCTGCTAGACAAATTCTAAAAGAACTGTAACACTTGTCTTATTCATTTCTGTGGGGATAAAATCACCCATGTTTCAGGGAGAGTATGAGGTTTCAGTGAGATAACAGATCAAATTTGTGTTACTGAATCAAAATAGGCAGTCCATAGGTGTTTGTCGTTTACCTAAAGGGATGAAGTAATGGATGGATGGATGGTGGATGGATGGACGGATGGTTAGAGGGATGGATGGAGGGAGGGATGAATGATTAGAGAGATAGATGGATGGATAGAGGGATGGTGGGATGGAGGGATGGATAGGTGGATAGATGAATGTGTATGTGGGAGGATGGCTTGCTGGCAGAAGGTCAAAAGGAATAGGATTCTTTCTACAGCAATATCAAGTCTGCACAAAAACCAGGTGCTTTACAGGAAGGTCTTATTATATCTCTTTGCAGCCTTAGGTCTTGAGCACAGATATAACACATGAGTAAAAACAGGCGTTAACACACCCAGGTCTAGTCAAGTGTGACTTCCACTTACCACTCTGGGGTCTACGACTCATCTCAGCGAGGCCAGGTCTTACACAGCCAGCACTCACCAACTGAGATCACTGGTGGTTCCCTGGGGCGAAAGCTGAGATTGGGGCAAATGCAAGATGAGGCTTTCCTGATACACAGGATGCCTTGGAAATTCTAATCAGTGATGTTTCATCAAAAGAATTACAACTCAACTCTTCCCATAATCCCTGTCACCGTTGCAAGAATGGAGAGATGCAGGTGAGCAGCCAGCCCTGCATCCGCCGCAGCTCCACACCATGTGACCTCCGCAATCGCTTAGCCCCTCTGAGCCCCATGATCTCCTTAGTAAGATGAAGGGGTTGTACCCTTCCAGCTCCACGATGTTCTGATTCTCTGAAAACTCTCTACCTCTTCCTTTAAAATATGGACCTAGAACTTTGGAAAAACGTGTATGACATTTCTTTTCCATCTGTCTCTACAGGGGCTCCTCAAACCCTTTCAAAATATTTGCACGTATATGTCAACATGTCTGTTTATGCTAAGCCCTGAGGAAGCTGTACACTTTAGAGACAGACAGATCTCAATTCCCGGCCGTGTGAGAAACTGGAAACAGACTATTAAGATTCAGTTCCTGCCCCCCAAGATGGGAAAAACAGGCATTGAAATGGGTTAACTTCAATGGTCACAGTAATTAAGGTATAAAAACGTTGGACTCTCCCACTCCCAAAATGCTGTCTGGAGGAATTCAGAAGGCTGCTTATTGGAGTATTCTGGGATATGTCAAAAAGAAGAGAAGGGCTGGGTACAGTGACCCATTCCTGCAGTCCCAGCTACTTGGTAGGCTGAGGTAGGAGGATCGCTTGAGGCCAGGAGTTTGATCCTGTAGTATGCAATAGTCGTGTCTGTGAATAGACATTCCATGCCAGCCTGGGCAATATAGCAAGACCCCGGCTTCAGAAAAAAGTTTCGAAAAAAAGAGAAGAGACAGAGGATACAGGAGGAGTAAAGGTGGCTGTATTGGGGTGGTGAGGAGAGCGACAGGTTGTGGCATGAGCTACAACCTACTGGTCCTCCTCCCATCCCCCTAATCCTTATGGGAACATGGTCTATGTGTTGAGGCAACATTCTGGGAGAAGTAAGGAGGTAATCACAAGTCACTGTCTCAGAACTGTCAGTTTCTCTCTCTTTTTTTTTTTTTTTCCAATTAGAGACAGGGTCTCGCTATGTTGCCCAGGCTGGTTTCAAACTCCTGAGCTCAAGCAATCCTCCAGCCCTGGCCTCTCAAAGTGCTGGGATTATAGGCATGGGCCTAGAGTTATTCTTTATTGAGACCCTGTGCACCTTACACACATCACAGTAGAGTTTCCTGAAGTGCTACACAAGTCGCTAAGACATGTCGAGTGACTTTAGACAGAACACAGAAAAACTTTTTTTTCTTTGAGATAGGGTCTTGTTCTGTCACCCAGGTCAGAATGCCGTGTGGCATGACAATCACAACTCACTGCAACCTTGACCTCCTGGCTCAAGCAATCCTCCCACTTCAGCCTCCCGAGTAGCTGGAACTACACATACACATCACCATGGCTGGCTACTTTAAATTTTTTTTTCTTTTTTTGGCAGAGTCTTGCTTTGATGCCCAGGCTGGAGGGCATTGGCACAATCTTGGCTCACTACAACCTCTGACCCGTGGGTTCAAGTGATTCTCCAGTCTCAGTCTCCCAAGTAGCTGGGATTACAGGCACCCACCACCATACCCGGCTGATGTTTGGGTGTTTAGTAGATACAGGGTTTCACCATGTTGACCAGACTGGTCTTGAACTCCTGACCTCAAGTAATCCACCCTCCTTGGCTTCCCAAAGTGCTGGGATTACAGGCGTAAACCACCACACCCATAAATTTTTGGTGGAGACAGTATTTTGCTATGTCTGTCAGGCTGTTCTCAAACTCCTGGGCTCAAGCAATCTGCCCCACTCAGCCTCCCAAAATTCTGGGATTACAGCCAGGCACCACCACACTCAGCCGAGAAACATTTTTATAGTTACGATTTTATGTTTTCGTCTACCTTCAATTTGGGACAGGTAGTATTAGTTTTCATTTACAATTATGTTATAATGTTTTCTTTCCAATAAATGTAAGCTTTTAAAAATGACTTAAAGAAAAGGTATTTATTAAGTAAACATACAGTTGGTACACGGATATTGCAAAAATTTCAAGAAGGGTACACAAATGACTGAAATTCAGGAGACACTGGGGTGAGCACAGAAGCATTGTGCTTGTTCAGAGTTCTTTTGGCTGTGAGTCATAGACACCCAATCAAATCAGCTTCAGCAAAGTAAGAGAATATATCCTGACAAGGGACTCTCACAGGGCCCAAAGGAAACAGTGCTGGGTCCCTGGAGGGTGGAAGGAGGCCAGCAGGTCCCTGGAGATGGTAGGTACCCCGTTGCTCTCTAGGCGCCTGTGATTCCCCTGGTCTCTCCTTGCTATGCGTATCTTTTCTCTGAGCAGAGCCATTTTCTCTACTACATTCATGCAGGTGGCCAACCCCCCAACACACACAAACACACACACACACACACACAGTCACAGTTCCAGAGTTTCTATGTTTTCAGGTAAGGAACCTGCAAAGCCTGAACAGCATTCCTGCTCTAGATGCCCACCTTACATCCGTTCTGCTCTCATCAGAGGATCAAGGGGCCGAAATTCTCAGGAAAGGGGGAGGGTCTAAGATGAGCAGTCACCCTGACCACGAGGTGTCTGCCTCAACATTGGCCGCTCATAACAATCCCATGAGGTAGCTTTAACCTCATAGATAATGACCCTAAGAGGTAGGAAATTCAGCGCCTGGTCTCTCAGCAGGAAATGACACAACCAAGACTTGAGCCAGGCCTGTGTGACATTGAAGCTCAAGTGTGCTGCACTAGCCACCCGGTCACATCATCAGCCAAGTCCAGCCCACAGCTACGGTCCCAGATTGCAGCAGGTTACCGGCCCACCGGGAGACATTTCTCAAAATCCACAATTGGCGCTTGCCAGATACACAGGAAGCGAGTATCCCAGCTTCACAGGGACATCGACCGGAAGGAAGATCTCTGAACGAGCACAGCGCTCTGCAAACCAGAGACATTTCCTCTGAGCCCCTTGGGTCCGAGGCTGCCAGACTGACGCTGCAGGTACTTGTCTCAGGGCAGGAGAGGAGGCTCATTTGCATATACTTGCCAAAAATCACAAGCAGACATCTAGAGATCCTCAAGAGAAACTGACAGCTGGCTGACATCTGCTGACAGTAACTGCTCCTCCCACCTCCTGGAAGCTGTGTTAGGAGGAGCCTCCCAGAGGGCAAGGAAGGGGAGAGGAACGGACACACTCTTCCACCCAGGGGCCTCATGCACTTCCCAGCCCACGAGCCTGTTCGCATGGAAACCCCTGGACATCGAGGTGTCCTGGCCTGGACAGCCCCAATTTTGCTTCTTTCTTTCTTTCTTTTTTTTTTTTTTTTGAGACAGAGTCTCACTCTGTCATCCTAGCTGGAGTGCAATGGTGAGATCTCAGCTCACTGCAACCTTCGCCTCCTGGGTTCAAGCGATTCTCCTGCCTCAGCTGCCCGAGTAGCTGGAACTACAGGCATGCAACACCATGCCCAGCTAATTTTTATGTATTTTTAGTAGAGACAGGGTTTTACCATATTGGCCAGGCTGGTCTCAAACTGCTAACCTCAGGTGATCTGCCTGCCTCAGCCTCCCAAAGTGCTGGAATTACAGGCATGAACCACTTCGCCCAGCTCCAGTTTTGCTCTCAAGTGGCCTTTGCACATCCTCAGTAGGTGGCTGCCCCACAGAAGGTACTTAATTAGGGACTGTTGTTGAGATGGAAAGATGGAGGAGGTGGGCATCTCTCTCCTACTCCCCCAGAGCTGACCAGGCCAGAGGCGAGGCCTTTGCGGAGAGACACGTCTGCCTTGGGAAGCAAGCTCCTTTCCTAGCTTTTGGTCTGTTCATGTTTTATCTTCTCTGGTCACCATTCGGGACAGGTTGCCAGGTGAGTCAGAGAAGGTTCCATCAAGGCACTTCCCCTGAGAAAGGTCACAAAGACCTTGTGCCTGAGGGTGGAGAGAGGACGGCATCATCCTAGCTCAAAAGTCTGCCCCAAGATAGTGCCACACAGAGAGGACACTGTCCCTTTCCCAACTCCCATTTCTGCCTCTGTCCCTTGAGAGTGCTCGCCCAGAGCTTTAGACTGATGCCCCATCGGGGAGCGCTAGGTGGCTCAAAGTCTTCCCCCAGTGTCTGCACCTCTGCACCTGGCCCTGGCAGGTTAAGATTAAGGGACTCAGGATGAGGTAATCAGCCACAGTTACTACCGTATGCGCCCACAGGCAGATGAAGGGGCTCATTTGAGTTCTGGATTTTCTGACAGTCTGGCTCTGCCATCATCCTTGCCCAGGTGAATTAGCCTCCAAACCTAATGGCCCACCAGGGCCCACAGAGGTGGTACCCAGACCACAGCAGATAGCCCTTCTTCCCCAGCTCAGTTCATGATGTCCATGGTGGGGAAGACTTCAGGCCTGGCCCCAACAAGCAGGGACTAATTTTTGAGGGAAGTGCCAGGGACCTGGTTGAGTGGCACAACCACTTCAGTGACCGTATCCGTGGTGGCCCGGGAGCATTTCCGGCTGCTGCGCATGCTGTAGAACTTTTCGGAGAGATGCTTGCGGAACTTCTTGGTGAGGAAACAGTAGATTACAGGGTCTAAGACACAGTTGGTGCTAAGGAGGCAGAGGGTGACCTGATGTGCGTCGTTAATGGCCTGGTGGAAGTTGCTGTTCTGGAAGCCCAGTTCAGCCAGGGTCCAGGGCAACTGCACCACGTGGTGGGGCACGAAGCAGATGATGAACACCGCCAAGACCGTGCACACCATCCACAGCGCCCGGCGCTTGACTTCAGCGTTGCACTGCTGCTGCACCGGCTGCATGAGCAAGGTACGAATGATGACCAGGTTGCAGAAGAAGATAATGAGGAAGACCAGGAAGAAGCTGAACACGATGAAGATGTGGATGATGAGGACGGGCATGCTGCCCTTCTCGTAATGCTCGAAGCAGCGGGTGATGTTGCCGGAGCCAGCACTGTTGGACACTGTGTTGGTGGAGTCCATGATGAGGAAGTAGGATGCAGCGCCCACAATGGCCACCCAGATAGCCAGGGACAAAGAGATACCACGTTTGCGCGTGTTGGTCTGAGCAGTCTTGATGGGCTGAGTCACTGCCTGGAAGCGGTTATAAGTGATGACGCCCAGGAAGGCCACAGAGCAGTAGGTGTTGATGAAGAAGAAGCAGCCAGCCAGGTTGCACAGGAATTTGGGGAGAATCCAGTTGCCCCGGTTTTGGTAGTAGACAATCCACAGTGGCAGGGTGATCAAGAAGAGCATGTCCGCCATGGTGAGGTTCACCATGAAAATCTTTATCTCATTGAGTTTCTTAGAAGGGTACAGGCGGGCAAAGACCCACAGCACGTAGCCATTAGCAATGACCCCAAGCACAAAGATGATGCTGTAAACAATCGGGAAGAGAGTGTATCGGAACTCAGAGTCCACGTGGGAGAAGTCATGTGGCTCCATTGCTGTGGGCTGGAATGATCAACTGGTCTTGGCCCTGGCAGTGCCTGGAAGACCACACAAAAATTCTGGTTAATAAAGGAACAAGAAAGGACTGTTCTATTTCATGAATTCCAAGACTCCTTGCCGTGGTTAAGATGATGATGTCCCCTCCAAAGTTTATGCTGAACCTTTTTTTTTTTTTTTTTTTTGGAGACAGAGTCTTACTCTGTTGCCCAGGCTGGAGTGGCCTGATCTCAGCTCACTGCAACCTCTGCCTTCTAGGTTCAAGTGATTCTCTTGCCTCAGCCTCCCGAATAGCTGGGATTACAGGCAAGCTAATTCTAGCCTGTAATTTTTACATTTTGAGTAGAGATGGGGTTTCACCATGTTGGTCAGCCTGGTCTTGAACTCCTGACCTTGTGATCCACCTGCCTTAGCCTTCCAAAGTGCTGGGGTTATAGGCATGAGCCACTGTGCCTGGCCTCTGTTGAATCTTAATCCCAGTGCAGAGGTGTGTCCTGTGGAATGTGATTAAGTCAGAGGGTAGAATGGAATTAGCGTGGTTAGAAAAGGATGCCAGGCTGCCCAGGGAGGCCAGGTTGAAGTAGGCCATGATCGGGCCACTGCACTCCTGCCTGGGTGACAAGTGAGACCCTGTCTCACACACACACACACAAAAATTAATAATTCTTTAAAAAGGGCTCAAGGCTGAAGAAAGCACTTAATCTTGCCCTTTTTGTCTTTCCATCTCTTTTGCCATGTGAGGTCACAGCTTTCAAGGTGTGACTTTGGAAACAGATAACCAGGCATCAGACACTAAACCTGCTGGTGCCTTGATCTTGAACATCCTCCAGAACTGTGAGAAATAAATTTCTTTTTCTTTTTTCGCTTCTTTTTTTTTTTTTTTTTTTGCTTTTTATAGACAATCTTTCTCTGTCGCTCACGCTAGAATGCAGTGGTGTGATCATGGCTCACTACAGCCTCAACCTCCTGCACGCAATTATCTTCCCACCTCAGGCTCCTGAGAAGCTGGGACTATAGGTATGTGTGTAACACTACACCCAGCTAACTGTTGTATTTTTTGTAGGGAAGGAGTTTTACTATGTTGGTAGTCTGGAACTCCTGGCCTCAAACATTTCTCCCACCTCAGCCTCCCAAAGTGCTGGGATTACAGGTGTGAGCCACCACTCCCAGCCAGAAATACATTTCTTGCGCTTTGTAAATTACTCAGTGTCAACGCTAATGGATTGAGACACTCCCACTTTAAACATCTTTAAAATTCTAAAATTGATGGCATTTTCCAATTAATTGGCAGTGGTCTTTCACTCTTTCTTTCTCTTGTTTTGGGTTTGTTTTGTTTTGTTTTGTATTTTTGGGACAGAGTCTCACTCTGTCGTCCAGGCTGGAGTGCAGTGGCAAGATCTAGGCTTACTGCAACATCTGCCTCCTGGGTTCAAGCAATTCTCTGCCTCAGCCTCCCAAGTAGCTGGGATTACAGGCACCCGCCACCACACCCGGCTATTTTTTGTATTTTTAGTAGAGACGGGGGTTTCACCATCTTGGCCAGGCTGGTCTTGAACCCCTGCCATCATGATCCACCCGCCTCAGCCTCCCAAAGTACTGGGATTACAGGTGTGAACCACCGCAACTGGCCTCTCTCTCTCTCTCTCTCTTTCTTTCTCTCTTTCCTTCCTTCCTTCCTTTTTTTCTTTCTTTTGAGACAGAGTTTCACTTTGTCACTCAGGCTGGAGTGCAATGGCATGATCTCAGCTCACTGCAACCTCCACTTCCCGGGTTCAAGCAATTCTGGTGCCTTAGCCTCCTGAGTAGCTGGTACTACAGGTGTGGTGTACGAAACCATACCCTGGCTGATTTTTTGTATTTTAGTAGAGATGGGGGTTTCACCATGTTGGCCAGGATGGTCTCAAACTCCTGATCTCAGACAATCTTTGCTCAGCCAGAAAAGTTATATTTTAAAATGGAATAAAAGAAGAGGCCTGGCACGGTGGCTCACACCTGTAATCCCAACACTTTGGGAGGCCGAGGCAGACGAATCACAAGGTGAGGAGTTTGAGACCAGCCTCGCCCACATGACAAAACCCCGTCTCTACTAAAAATACAAAAATTATCTGGGTATGGTGGCACGTGCCTGTAATCCCAGCTACTTGAGAGGCTGAAGCAGGAGAATTGCTTGAACCTGGAAGGCGTCGGTTACAGTGAGCCAAGATTGCACCATTGCACTCCAGCCTGGGTAACAAGAGTGAGACTGCTGTCTCAGAAAAAAAAAAAAGAAGATAAACAGAACTGCTATTGATTTTGTGGAATTTCAGTTGCTGTTCATTGTTAAAACACATCATTATTTTATGCAGGAAAAAAAAATACTGCATCATCAGGTGTGGTAGCTCTCACCTGTAATCCCAGCACTTTGGGATGCCGAGGCAGGTGGATCACCTGAAGTCAGGAGTTCAAGACCAGCCTGGCCAACATGGTGAAACCCTGTCTCTACTAAAAATACAAAAATTAGCTGGGTGTAGTGGTGCGTGCCTGTAGTCCCAGCTACTCAGGAGGCTGAAGCAGGAGAATTGCTTGAACCCGGGAGTCAGAGGTTGCAGTGAGCTAAGATCCTGACATTGCGCTCCAGCCTGGGCAAGATTGTCTCAAAAAAAAAAAAAAAAAAGATAATAAATAAGTAAAAATTAGCTAAAATATAAATTTGTCTTCTTTTGACTTAGAATTTTAGATCATCTGTTTCTAGTGATAAGTATATATACATTCTTATTATACGAAATTTGAAACTTTAATGTTTTTCTTTTCCTTTTCTTTTTTTTTTTTTGAGACAGAGTCTCACCCTGCTGCCAGGCTGGAGTCCAGTGGGGCGAACTCCTCTCACTGCAACCTCCACCTTCTGGGTTCAAGTGATTCCCTGCCTCAGCCTCCAGAATAGCTGGGACTACAGGGGCTCGCCACCACGCCCAGCTAATTTTTGTATTTTTAGTAGAGACAGGGTTTCACCATGTTGGCCAGGATGGTCTTGAAATCTTGACCTCATGATCCACCCATCTCGGCCTCCCAAAGTGCTGGGATTACAGGCAGGAGCCACAACACAGGGCCAAAATTTGGATATTTTTCTACCGATGAGATTTGAAATAAAAATTTTTATGGTAAAATGCCCTACATTTTAAAATAATTTATGTGCTCATCAAAGGTCTGGAAAATATAGAATTATAATATTAGGGTCACCCAGAGAATAAAATAGTAGCCATCATTTAAAAGGATTTATTAGATATGGCTGTACTGATTTGGAAAGGTGTCCTTGGAATACAGTGTTAATTAAAAACAAAACAAAACTGGCCAGGCATGGTGGCTCATACCTGTAATCCCACCACTTTGGGAGGCTGAGGCAGGTGGATCTCCTGAGGTCAGGAGTTTGAGATCAGCCTGCCCAACATCATGAAGCCCTGTCTCTAGTAAAATTACAAAAATTATCCAGGCATGGTGGTGGGTGCCTGTAATCCCAGCTACTCGGGAGGCTGAGGCAGGAGAATCACTTGAACCCAGAAGAAGAGGTTGCAGTGAGCCAAGATCAAGCCACGATATACCCCAGCCTGGGCAACAAGAGCAAGACTCTGTGTGAAAAAAAGAAATAAATAATAAATAAAAATAAAAACAAAGCAAAACAGAAAAGTTGCAAAAAATATTTGGTATGAGCCAATTATGTGTGTTTGAATAGAAGATCTAGAACAGGCGTCCCCAAACTACGGCCCCCTGAGGCCATTTATCCAGCCCCCTGCCACACTTCAGGAAGGGGCACCTCTTTCATTGGTGGTCAGTGAGAGGAGCACAGTATGTGGCGGCCCTCCAACGGTCTGAGGGACAGTGAACTGGCCCCTTGTGTAAAAAGTCTGGGGATGCCTGATCTAGAAGGATAGCCTTCAAACAGTTGACAATGGTAAGTAGCCTCTGAGAAGGTGAGGTGGCTTAGTGGGAAGTTTATTTACTTTATACTTTTATGTGTTTGTTTGAATCTTTAAAGGGTACTTCTTATCTTAATAATTTACAATTTTGAAAATACAATGTAAGGACATGCACAGTGGCTCATGCCTGTAATCCCAGCATTTGGGAGACTGAGGCGGGAGTACTGAGTGAGCCCAGGAGTTCAAGACTGGGCAACGCAGTGAGACCCCTGTCTCTACCAAAATAAATAAATAAATAAATAAAACAATTAGCCAGGCATGGTGGCGCATGCCTGTAGTCTCAGCTACTCAGGGGACTGAGGCAGAAGGATCGCTTGACCCTTGGAGTTTGAGGCCAGCCTAGACAACATAGTGAGACGTCATCTCAAACTAAACAAAACAGTTGCTCCCTCCCCTCTTGTTCCTCCCACTACTGCTGTCATGGTAAGATTCCAGGAGTTCCCCTGCTGTTTACGTTGCAGTGCATGACTCAGGGAAGCCGCAGGCAGGGAGGAGGATGGGAAGCAAGAACTCAGCTGGGGCTAAGTGAGGTCCAGCTCATCATAGCTAACAGTGTAGTAAAAAGAGCACAGTAGGCCAAGAACAGTGGCTCATGCCTGTAACCCCAGCATTTTGGGAGGCTAAGGCAGATGAATGCTTGAGCCTGGGAGTTTGAGACCAGCCTGGGAAACATGGCGAAACCCTATCTCTACCAAAAAAAAAAAAAAATTAGCCAGGCGTGGTGATGCTTGCCTGTAGTCCTAGCTACTTTGGAGGTTGAAGCTGGAGGAACGCTTGAGCCCAGGAGGTGGAGGTTGCAGTGAGCCGAGATTGTGCCACTGGCATTCCGGCCTGGGTGATGGAATGAGATCTTGTCTCAGAAAAAAAAAAAAAAAAAGGGAGTGAAACACAAGGAAGACAACACTTCAACACTTGGAGCACCTTCTTTAGAGCCAGGTACCCTGCTAGGTGCTTCCACGTGTACTGCCTCATTTGAGTCTCACGCAAACACTTTGCAGTAGGAAGTAAAATATTACAGAACAGGAAACTGAGTACAGGGTGGTTATGTGACTTGTGCAAGATCACACAGCAATTAAAGAATGGTGCCAGGGTGTCAGATGCAGCTCTATTTTTTCACATATCCGTCCAACAAATATTTCTGAGCACCAACTGCATGTAAGGCACACAGCTAAGCACAGGAGCTATAGGGCGAACACCCAGCAAAAGGGCTCTGCCCTCAGAGAACTTACATCTCTTGGGAGAGACAGACAAAGCAATTTAAACAAACACCATTGTTATACAAATAAAAAGGGGTGCTGATACGGAGACCAAAAGGAGAACTGCTTAGAAAGGAGGTAACATTTCTGTTGAGGCTGAAGGAGGAACAAGAGAAGAACTTTCCAGGCAGAGGGTTCTGCATGGGTCCACAACTGAGGGAAGAGCTTGGTGGTTTCCAGGAATGGAAATAAGCTTACCAGAAGGCCCTGGCCCTGACCTCCAGCTGCCACTCTACCCTCACTCATGCAACGTTAGCATCAGGTACTGGCCAGGACGGACTTCCCAGATGCACCTTCAAACCTGTCCAGACGCTTCCTGCCTAGGAGCCTCCACAATACCCACTCATCTTGCTGCTTTGAATGCTCTTCTTTTTTTTTTTTTTTCAGACTGGAGTGCAATGGCACAATCTCGGCTCACTGCAACCTCCACCTCTCAGCTTCAAGTGACTCTCCTGCCTCAGCCTCCCGAATAGCTGGGATTACAGGCACTGGCCACCACGCCCAGATAATTTTTGTATTTTTAGTAGAGACGGGGTTTCATCATGTTAGTCAGGCTGGTCTCGAGCTCCTGACCTTGTGATCCGCCCACCTTGGCCCTCCAAAGTGCTGGGATAACAGGCGTGAGCCACTGCGCCCGGCTCTACTCCCCACTTTCACCCTACCAAGTGCAACTCATGCTTTGGACTTCAGCTGAATTTCACTACTCCTCTTCGCTGGACTTGGGACCAAGTCAACATCTCCTACCCCTCCAAACTCCCTGTACTTCATAAATCTTAGCACAGTTGTAATCACATTGACATTTGTGTGATTATTGAACGTTTCCTCACTTGACTGTGAACACCAAGAGAGCCAGGACCTTCTCTACCTCTTCAATACTGTGTGTTTCCAGGGCTAAGATGAAAGAATGGATGACAGCCTTGTTAATTACGCCAGTCCCTTCCGGAGCCACAGCAATGGAAACACTTGAAGAAGCCTAAAGATACTTAAAACTTACAGCTATGCTTAAAGGAGCAATTGGCTCTAATTGGAATTTTGTTTACTGAGAAAATTTTTGTGCTTTGCTCCATTGAGTGTGGTGGTACTTTATCTGCCTTAAATACAGATTTTATTATTGCCAATAAATCATTGTTATTCTTTTTTTTTTTTTTTTTTTTTTTGAGACAGGGTCTCACTCTGTCATCCTGGCTGGAGTGCAGTGGCTCACTGCAACCTCAATCTCCCAGGCTCAAGAGATCCTCCTACCTCAGCCTCCTGAGTAGCTGGGAGCAGGCATGAGCCACCACGCTCAGCTATGTTGTAGCTCTTTTAGAATTTGTCTAGTAGGTTTTCTGGTTTTTACTGCAAAATGCCATCCCCCCAACAAAAAAATTACTAGGTTCCACTGTGCTGGGACCCTTTCCATCCCAGAGTTAGTACTGACATCTGATTCCAAAGCTCCAGGGCAATAGTTCTCAAACGGTAGCCTATGGAATTGGAGACTTGGGAGTCTATGAGGCCAAAACTATTTTCATAATAATACCAAGATATTCTTTTCCTTTCCTACTGTATCGACATTTGCACCAGTGGTACAAAAGCAAAGCTGACTAAAAGCACTGGCTCCTTAGCACAAATCAAGGCAGCAACATCGAACTGTACCAGGAGTCATTTTATCCTTCGCAACCCAGACCGAGCGTTGGGGGAAAATGGTCAACTTCACTTTAAAATGTCCTCAGTAGGCCAGGCATGGTTGCTTTCACATGTAATCCCAGTACTTTGGGAGGCTGAGGCAGGTGGATTACCTGAGATGGGGAGTATGAGACCAGCCTGACCAACATGGAGAAAACCAGTCTCTATAAGAAAAAAAAAAAAAGAGAGAATAAAGGAAAAAAAAAGTCTTCAATAAATCAAGGAAATGATGCATTTTATTAAATCTTGAATACATGTCTTTATAATATTATGAGTGTAAACAGGAAATACTCACGAAACACTTCTGCTGCAGACCTGAAGTGGTCTTTAGGAAAAGCACCTCTGAGATTGTTAGAGTTGTGAGCTAAACTTGTTTTCTGGATCATGATTAGTCGGGTACAGTGGCTCACACCTGTAATCCCAGCACTGTGGGAGGCCAAGGTGGGAGGATCACTTGAGTCCAGGAGTTCAAGACCAGTGTGGCCAACATGGTAAAACCCCGTCTCTACTAAAAATACAAAAATTAGTTGGGCATGGTGGTGCATGTCTGTAATCCCAGCTACTCAGGAGACTAAGGCAGGAGAATAGCTTGAACCTGGGAGGTGGAGGTTGCCGTGAGCCAAGATCCTGCCACCACACTCCAGCCTGGGTGACAGAGCAAGGCTCTGTCTCAAAACAACAACAACAACCAAAAGACTGACTGAGAAACTGTGATGGTTTATCAGACTTGGGTATCTGGCAGACATTTCCTTAAATAGGAATGAAGAGAGCCTGTTGCCTTCAAGGGAAACAAATGATGAAATTTGTTGCCAATGATAAAATTTGAGCTTTCAGCCAGTGGCTCACGCCTGTAATCTCAACACTCTGGGAGCCCAAGGCAAGCAGATTGCTGGAGCCCAGGAGTTTGAGACCAGCCTGGTCAACATGGCAAAATCCTGTCTCTACAAAAGAAAAAATTTAAATTAGCCAGGTATGGTGATGCATTCCTGTAGTCCGAGCTACTCAGGAGGCCAAGGATTGAGCCCAGAAGCTCGAGGCTGCAGAGAGCCATAATTTCACCACTGCACTCCAGTCTAGGCAAAAGAGACCTTGTCTCAGAGAGATAGAGAGAGAGAGAGAGAGAGAGAGAGAAAGAGAGAAGAGCTTTCTTAGAAATGTTTGGAAAAATTGTATTTGCCAGTATGAGCGTGACAGCTTTCTAATACTTAGCATCTGAAGAAATTGGTAGAGAGATTGGCTGGGTGCAGTGGCTTATGCCTGTAATCCTAGCACTTTGGGATGCCAAGGCAGGCGGATCACAAGGTCAGGAGTTCAAGACCAACCTGGACAACATGGTGAAACCCTGTCTCTGCTAAAAATACAAAAAATTAGTCGGGCATGGTGGCGGGTGCCTGTAATCCCAGCTACTCAGGAGGCTGAGGCAGGAGAACTGAGCCAAGATCATGCCACTCCACTGCAGCCCAGTTGACAGTGCGAGACTCTGTCTCAAAAAAAAAAAAAGAAAGAAAAAGAAATTGGTGGAGAGATTAATGGATGCAATTTTTTGATATTGTGTAATAAAAGGTTGACATTTAGAAGACCTGTATAACTCAGTGAACCAATGTTTTCAAATGAGCAAAGCATGATAGTCCCAAATTTTTTTTTTTTTTTTTTTTTTTGAGACAGAGTTTTGCTCTTGTTACCCAGGCTGGAGTGCAATGGCGCGATCTCGGCTCATCGCAACCTCCGCCTCCTGGGTTCAGGCAATTCTCCTGCCTCAGCCTCCTGAGTAGCTGGGATTACAGGCACGTGCCACCATGCCCAGCTAATTTTTTGTATTTTTAGTAGAGACGGGGTTTCACTATGTTGACCGGGATGGTCTCGATCTCTTGACCTCGTGATCCACCCGCCTCGGCCTCCCAAAGTGCTGGGATTACAGGCTTGAGCCACCGCGCCCGGCAATGTCCCAAAATTATACGTAAGTGAAAGATCCACTCAAGTGGCAGGACAGACCAATTCAATGTAGTATTAAGAGGTTACAAAAAGTGTATTGAGACTGGGCACGGTGGCTCACACCTGCAATCCCAGTACTTTGGGAGCCCAAGGTAGCAGATTAGTTGAGCCCCATAGTTTGAGACCAGCCTGGGCAACATGGTGAAACTCCATCTCTACCAAAAATACAAAAATTAGCTGAGCATGGTGGTGCATGCCTGTGGTCCTAACTACTCGGGAGGCTGAGGTGGGAGGATAATTTGAGCTGAAAAGTTGAGGCTGCAGTGAGTTGTGATCGTGCCACTGCACTCCAACCTCGGCAACACAGCAAGACCCTGTCTCAAAACGAAAAAGTCCATTGATCTAATTTAGTTTTTACATTACAACAAACCTTTAAGAAACTACTATTTGTGGGACTTTGGTATCGTATCAAAGAAGAGTATTGGCTGGGCGTGGTGGCTCATGCCTGTAATCCCAGCACTTTGGGAGGCTGAGACGGATGGATCACCTGAGGTCAGGAGTTCAAGACCAGCCTGTCCAGCATGGTGGAAAACCCCACCTCTACTAAAAACACAAAAAATTAGCCAGGCCTTGTGGCAGGTGCCTATAATCCCAGGTACTTGGGAGGCTGAGGCAAGAGAATCACTTGAACCCAGTAGGCGGAGGCTGAAGTGAGCCAAGATCATGCCATTGCACTCCAGCCTGGGCAACAAGAGTAAAACTTAAAAAAAAAAAAAAAAAAGAGTATTACCAATTATCTGAAAAAGGCATTAAAAGATCCCTCCTTTTATAAGTACCTATCTGTGTGAAGGCATATTTTCAACCAAAAATACATGCCACAGCAGCAGAAGTGCAGAAGCAGACATGAGGATCCAACTGCCCTCTATTTAGCCAGCATTAAAGAGATGTATAAAAAATGTAAATCGATGCCACTTTTTTCCCTAAATTGTTTATGTTTTAGAAAATCTAGTTGTTTTTCACAAAAATGTGTTATTTATGTTAACACGGAAGGAGTTTACTATTGGGGTGTTTTCAAAAATGAAAATTTTTAGAATGTCTAAGTTTTCATTGTTGGTACAGTAAGTATTGCTGGAGACAACTTATGTAAACAAAGGCTCTTTGGCACCCGCAATAATCTTAAAGGATACAAAGGAACCCTGAGACCAGAAGATCTGAATACTGCTACTCCACAGCCTCAGCACCCCCACCCTTCCTTTGGGCCCAAGACGTCAAGTTCATCCAGGACCGGCCTTGTTTCTCTCTCAGGCTATACCCTCTTGCCTTGGGGGTCCTGTTCCCAGGGCATTGAGGCATATTTGGCCTAGCCCTGCCTGTGTGTGGCTGGGGCCGGCCCACAGCTGGGCGGGGCATGGTGCTCACTCTGGGTCTTTGGGGAAGTCAGGTCCCTACGTCTCTGCCACCCCCACCCCCTTGCCCAACACAAAGTGCCTTCCTCTACTCAGGTGTGGATTCTCTGAAAACTCTCCAGCCAGAGGACCCAACCCAGGACATCCTAAGCCCTGCACCCTGCCTGCCCAGGCCTGTTGAGAAAGCCTTTCCGCCAGGGCCAGGACTAGAATGAAACATGTGAGGCATTTTCACTTGGTGCAAAAGTGAAGGAGACACCAAACCTCAGTAATCAAGATAAATAATATTTTACTTTATTTATTTATTTTTGAGACAGGCTTTTGCTCTGTCACCAAGGCTGGAGTGCAGTTGTGTAATCTCGGCTTACTGCAACTTCCACCTCCTGGGCTCAAGCCAACCTCCCACCTCAGCCTCCCAAGTAGCTGGGATTACAGGAGCATGCTACCACACTAGGCTAATTTTTGTGTTTTTTGGTAGAGATGAGGCACGCCCATCATGGCCAGCTAATGTTTGTATTTTTAGTAGAGATAGGGTTCCGCCATGTTGACCAGGCTGGTCTCAAACTCCTGACCTCAAGTGATCCGCCCCGCTCAGCCTCCTAAAGTGCTAAGATTACAGGTGTGAGCAGCTGTGCCTGGCCAATAAATAATACTTTAATGCAATATTTTTTAAAAATCAAAAGGAGTATTACTGATTCTTCCCTCCTGCTCAGGCTCTCATATGAATGACTCTGTCTGGCACTATTATGATACTGTCTTCATCTAAAATTTTGGTACTTTGTTCATCATAAATTTTTTTTGCATTAATTTTAATTTTTTTAAAAAGACCTTCTCACCATGTAGACAGGGCACACACAGAGACTAGCCTGATTCGCTCATTCAGTCCTCATTCATGCATTCACTGGGCAAGCACTCATAGCTCCAGAATCTGAGCAGTGCACTGAGGCCTCAGAGAACATACCCAGCCCTGGCCCTTGAGCGGCTCACAGGCCATTTCGCAGGAGAAAGAGATTCAGAAACAGACAAGCAGTCGGTGCTATAGTGATGGAAATTTCAGGTGTAATAGGAATTCAGAGAAGCTGCCCCTAGCCCAGACTTGAGGGTGAGGAGAGACCTCCTGCCTATGCGGAAGGAATTAGCTTTAATAGTGCAAGGAGAGAGGAATAACAGGCAGAGGGGACGCAGGGAAGAGGCCTGGAAGAAGAGACAAAGATGTGCCTTGTTCTAAAGGAACGTGAAACATTTGGTTTGGCTAAAACTTAAAGTCTAAGGAGTTGAGAAGTGGCAAGGCTTAAAAAATGAGCATCAGTCAACTCAGGATGGGGCCTGGAGGTCAGTCTAAGTGCAACA